CTTTTCCAGTTACGCCAAGCTGGCCCATTCGGACCATTTGTCAACCTACTTAACCTCCAAGATAAAAACTCCTCGACGAAAAGAGACCAACTAACGTGTGTAAAATCAGGGAAACACTTTTATTTATTCAGCATTTTCCAGGATAAAGAACAGAAAATTAAACAAAACACATATACACTGAAATCATAAACACAAACATAACAAACGCCCGGAGAGGAAACAGTTAATCCAATAACTGTCATCTGTAAGCCTCCCTTTCTGAAGCTCCAGGTTTTACATAAACGTGCACACACATACACAATAAAGTAACTGCACAAGGAAAATATGATTCAAGAAATGGTAAATTAATAAATCGAACAGAAAAAGATTATTCAGTAGGCGAGAATAACATAAATCTGACATACAAATACATTAAAATAAAGAAAATAAAATTAATTACAAAAACAAATCAATCAATGACAAGTAACCGGAAAACAATAAAAGAAATTTACTGTACAAAACCGAAAAAAGAAAAACAACATGGAATAACAAAATATGAATGAAGACCGACAAAAGGAAAGGACACATCTGGCCCACATGGCAAATCCTAAGTCTTGAAATCCCAGCATTTTGTGCTTCCTTACAAGCAACACAGTGCCCCTCCCACAACTCGCCAGTCTCAACCTTATTACAAAGGTACTCAAATGCCAATTCAATCAGTGCTCTATACATTTTTATACTTCAGATTCAAGTGGGTACAGATAGGCTGCTTGTATTCCAGAATAGTCAACGCTACAAACCTGTAAGATGAAAGCAAGACATACTGAGTCTGTCTGATTTGATAGTGACTTAACGTGATTTTCCCAAGAAATCTTCTCGTTGAAATTATTACAAGAAGATATTTGTAGTCATTATCAGCTTCAAAACTGCATGTTAACAAAGGTATAATTCAGATCCACTATTTTCTTTAACCATCCTATACGCAAAACTTAGGTTTCCTTCGTAATGTATCGATATGTATTTTTATTAACATGACAACATCTATGGAAGCCATGAAATATCTTGTTGAAGAAGGTCATCAGACTGACATTATATTGGCCAATACACAAGAGCATTGTTACTTGAGAAAGTGCTAGCTGATACGACGTGATGGGGAAGGTCGTTGTGCATCATTAATTGAAATGGATTGGGCTAGAGACATTTCCTTCAAGTACACCGGATGGTACAGAAAAACCATCAAAATAGGAACCTTTCAACAAAACCTTTTGCTGCCACCACAAGACAAACGGTCACTGCAACATTTACAAATTACCAGTTATGTTATGTTGAGGAAATCCAAACTGTTTTTTCTTCACTGGGCTGAAGGCAATTCCAGACAACAGTTTAAAAGTGCTTGTGTTATTTTTTATTGCCCTAAAAAGGCTCAATGCACTTATACAACAGAAATGACACCCGGAATTCGCTCGTGCTATTCCAGGACAGACTATGATAAAGAAAACGATGAGAGAGGTTGAGCATGTCACAGCATGGAGCACATCATTGTTCAACCGTCAGGAGAAGACTAACAAGTAGAACAGATAGGCACAGTGCTAGAGTCCAAATCTTGGCCGTAATCGTGGTAGTACAGGCGTAAAAAATAACAGACAAATGTTTAATTGGGATGACATGAATAAAGGCATCACGCGGATAATGATAAATTACCAAGCCAATAAAATCACTTCAAAAGGAGGGCACAGTGGATACTTTTAAGTGAGTATATTTACATGATTCAAAAGAACCAGTAAGAAAAATTCATTTTAAAGTGTGGCCTTAATTTTGCAGAAAATGTTCTTATATTTGGAAATATGGAAATGAAACATCCTCCAATGACTGAAGAGATGATACCATTCCTAATTAACCAAGGTCAGCAAATTTCGACTACTTGAAGACTATCCTCGTATAAAAAGACCAAACGAACTACTGAAATAGATCGACTGACACGTACAAGAGGGAGAAGATTGCTAGCAAACATAATGGCTGACCCAAGCTTTCACTTTCATTTGGGTCTAGTTCTCTTATATTTGGGAATATCCGAATGAAACATTCTTCAGTGGATATGTACAACAAAATGAAAACAAGATCAGTTGAATTTCACCAACCCTACAGTCACAGACAAATGCTAAATTAGGATTAGTCCTTACATAGAGCCAACTTTGCTGCAAAACCATCCTATTACAAGACAAACTTACAAATGGAAAAAAATAACTGGAAGCATAACTTCATGATCAGACTTGAAGCTTTACATGGTGGAGACTAAAAGCAGGGCTCGTGGTTACATCATATGGATAGATCTCTCTTGGAAAAGGAATGGTTCTGACAAGAACCGTAGAGTGTGTACTCGACGTTTTATCCAGCATGCTCTCCTCATGCTCAGGAGTGGAGCCTGATAAGCCTTGCTCCAGATTTTATAGAACAATTGTACATGTATACAAAATTATGTACAGATATTGTTTCAAAATCTGGAACATGCCTCTCATTATTAGGCTCAAATCAGAACATGATATAAAGTGCTTACCGAGTGAGTTGTGTTGTCAGTAATGCAAGTTGCCAGTGATGTGTTAC